GAAGTGACAGTCACAGGGTGACCACATGCCAGGGCAGGAGCATAGATCAGAAAGGATAAAAGCAAAGGATAAAGCAAAATTAATCCAAAGAACTGGAGATTGTTCAGTAATAAATGGAAAATGAAGGCCAGGAGAGAATACCACCTTGGATGGTATTCGCATTTGATAATCTCCATCAGGGGGTTTACCTGACCACCCCAACTACATATGTATTTTGTAATTTTTTAAATTTATATCATAGCATATAGGAAAGTGTATGCCATTTGGAGTCAGAAGACCTGGGTTCCGATGCAGTCACTGCTACATAAACTGAGTGACCTTGACAAAGTGACTTCCCCTTCTAGGCCTTCATTTCTTTTGTTGTTACTTAGTCATTCTGATTTCTGCTGCCTTCATTTCTACATCTTTCAAATGAAGAGGGATCTCTTAGATCCCTTCCAGCTCTAAATATTATACTAATGTTAGCTGATGTTTGTATAACACTATAATGGTTACAGGGCAGCTAAGTAGTGTAGTGGATAGAGACATTTGCCTCAGTTTCCTCATCTGTAAAATGACCTGGAGAAGGAAATGGCAAACCACTCCAGCATCTTCGTCAAGAAAACCTCAAATGGGGTCACAAAGAGTCAGTACTGAAAATAACTTAACAACAACAAATAATATTTCCAAAGCATTTGCAGACATTATCTCATTTGATCTTCACAGCAACCCTACAAAGTCGGTGGCATTAGTAATTGTTATCAACATTTTTCAGATTAGGAAACTGAGGCTCAGAGATGAAATGATTTGTCCAAGATCACCCAGCTGGGAACTGGTGGAGCTAGGATTCCAAGCCAGGCCATCTGATTCCAAATTCATTGGTTTTCCCTCTATACCAAGTTAAATTTTAGTGATAGATAGATGATGAATGGATGGATGGATGGATGAGTTGGATAAGTTATGAATGAATAAAATGAAATAAATTATGGAATTATAAATTATAAATGAAATACTATCAAGTAATAGAACCATAAAATATCATAGTTAAAAGAGATCTTAGAGGTTCTTTAGTTCAACCCTGTCAATTTATAGATGAGGACATGAAAACTCAAAAAGGTTGATAAAGAGGTATCTTAAGAAAAAGACTTTGCATAACGACTGTAGTAATATAAAGGAAAACAACAGCAGCAGACAGGAAGTTTGATGAGTGCAATGCAGAATACTGCCTGTGAAACACACCTCACTCCAGGGATGTTACTAGACCCTACATACAAAATGAGACCTGTATTGTCAGATATGACCAATGTGTCATTTTGTTTTACTTAACTATTTGTTACAATGGAGGGGTAAGTTGGGGTGGAAGAAGGGATTATTAAGAAGTGACAGCAAAGTAAAAAAAAATCAATAAAACATCTATTTAAAGAAAAAAAAAGTTATGTCTTAACTAAGATTGCACAGCAAATTAAAGGCAGATTAGAGACTTCAACCTTGTTCATTTGGAATACTAGATGGGGAGGAATAGAGCTAGTCTAGATTAATGTATGATTAAACTAAACACATGTTCAACTATTGGGGAACAAATTATATGAATGAAATGGAATATTATGATGAATCAAATAAATGGCAAAGTAGATAATTTTGGAGGAACCTGGGAAGACTTCTGTGAACTGAGGTTCTGCAGAGTGAAGGGAGAAGAACTAGGAGAACAACTTATACAATAGAAATACTGTTATAAAGAAAAACAACTTTGGAAGACTTTAGATCTTTGATCAATGCAACAACCACAAGTCTAGAGAACTGAAGATGAAGCATACTTCCCACCTCTGGCTAGAGAAGTGATGGACTTAAATGCAGAAAGAAATACATTTTTGGACTTGGAAATGTGCAATTTGTTTTGCTGAACCATGTGTGTTTGTTTTGAGTTTTAGATTTCATTTTTTAAAAATTTTCAATTTAGGGAGTACAGTAGGAGGGAGACACATTAAATGACTATAAAATGAATGAACATTAAAAGGTCACCTTTCTGAGATCTTGTAGAGGAAATTCATATTTTGGGTAGGGCTGGACTAGATGACCTCTAAGGTCCCTTCTAATGCTGAGATTCTGTCATGCACCTTGCAGTCCAAAACACATTTCCAGGATTTGATGTATCAGAACCACATCTATGTGCCTTCATTCTTCATTGGATAGCACTTCCTCCCTCTATTCTGATTGGTAGCCAACCCATTCTTCTCCTTGCACTCTTAATTTCCACTTACCTTGTCTCTTCTTTCTCCTCCCCACTGTCCCACCTTAGTTCTCATACTTTGTGACACACTCTGCAAAGTGGTTGACAACCTTGAGTCATGTGAGGGTGGGAGTGGGAAAGAAGATGGCAATACATTCAACACTCGTGCAGCAAATATTGTACTAAGAGCCTACTATGGGCAGTATGGTACAGCAGACAGAGAGCTGACCTTGGAACCAGGAAGACCTAGGTTCTAGCCCCACCTCTGATATTTAATGGCTGTGTCACCCAGGGCAAGTGACTTAACCTCTCAATGTCCCCAGAAAACTCTGTAAGACTATAAATCACAGAACTGCATTGGTACAAGGAGTGATCTCATTGGGAGTTCCATATACCAATGAAATCACAGCTGTTACCCCTCTCCCCCCAAAAAAAGATATGTGGGGTGCCATGTGCTGGAGATACAAAGACAAAAACAGACCCTGCCCTCCAGGAGTCAAGGGTTAGGTTTGGGGAGGTGACTCTATTCTGGGACCTTTGCTAAAAAAAAAAATGAAGCATCATGGAAAATTCATGGGGAAATGCCAGTTCCAAATAAGCCTTCTTTCCATTATAATTTCTCATTCACATGACATTTCTTTCATAGAGAAGATTTCATTGTTCAATTTGATTCAACAAACAGTTGTTAATCATCTACCAGGTTTGAGGCTCTGCAAAATACACAAAGTATAGGTAAGATATGAACTTTTCCCTCAGGGAGCTTATAATCTACTAGGGAGCTAAGATACAAACACAGATATTTAATACTACTCATACATGATAAATGTGTTAGAGGTGGTCCAAGTGCTATTTGAAATCTGAGGGGGTATGAAAGGTCCTTATAAAAATGAGGTCAAGAAAGTCTTCCTGAAAAAGATGGCATCTGATATAAGTTTTAAAAAGAGAAGAAATTCAATAGACAAAGAGGAGAGTGAATGGCATTCCAGGCATCAGAAACAACTAAGCATAAGAGGCAGGAAACCAATGTCAGGAAGCTGAATAAAGGAGAAGGGAGAAGCATGGCAAAAGATTGGATGAGTAGTGAAATGCCAGCTTGTAGAAGGGCTTGAATGTCAGGCCAAGTAAAGAGTTTGAATTATTTCACTTCTTTTTTTTTTTCTTTGGCTAGGCAATGGGGTTAAGGGACTTGCCCAGGGTCACATAGCTAGTGAGTGTTATGTGTCTGAGGTTGGATTTGAACTCAGGTTCTCCTGAATACAGGGCCGGGGCTCTATCCTCTGTCAAAGGTACCCTAAGTCAAAGGTACACTGAAGGAATCCTTAACTTGTTGAGTTTTTGCCTAGAATAATTTACTTATCAGATTCAAGAAGACTAAGAAGGAACAGTCCAATAGGTAAAGAGGAAAACCAGGAGAGAGAGCAGTAGTGCAGAAAGCAAAGGAGAAAAGAGTATCCAGAAGAATAGTATGGTCATGTAAGCAGACAAGGCCAACAGTGCAAAAAGGTCAAGAAGAACTAAGGAAAATCCACTGGATTGGTTCTGCCTGTGAAACTTCTTCTCTCAAGCACCAAAAGAAAAGGTCAGAAGGAATTATTCTAAACCAATGGCCCAATAAGAATCAAAGCAGGCTCCTAAATCATCACCAATTCCTAAATTGCCAGAATCTAAATCAGTGAGGCCTTACTATTAAGACACACTTAAGACAATGACCACCAAGAACAGTACAGAAGACAATAACCATAGGATCATAGGATCAAAGGATGTTTGATCTCATAGGCCACCCAGCACAGCTCCCTCAGAGACGAGCAGGGGAAAACTCATGGGAACATCACACCCAGAAGGGCTAATGCTATGGACTGGTGGTAAGAGGGCACACACCAAAGAGGAAAGATGGTGGGTGGTGGGTTTTGCTGACAGAATCAGAACTAATTCAAAAGAGCAAGAAGGGGAAGAATCTTTGAATTGGAAAGATAAGAGTTTAAGGGTTCTGTGCAGAGGGACAGCTGGCAGAGAGATGTACTGCCTAGGGGCTGGGGCTTGGACAGGAGTGCTAAGCAGCTGTCCAGTAGGCACCACTGGACTAGTAAACAGAACAAGTGAGGAAGTGTGTTATCGTTGCATGGCCCATTGGCCCCTGATAATCATGCACGTTCTGTTTGCCAAACCTGAGGGCAAGGAAAGATCAATACATATCTGCTCTCTCCATCATCTCCAGCCTCACCACTATGGGCTTCTGGTTCCAAGGTCATCTGGTCCATCCTTCTGCCTCCAGGGGTGGGGAGAGGCCTGGTTTAGAGAAGAGGAACTCTACCTGCTCTGACCAGCTTATTCTAAGGAAAGATGAGAAGTGGAAAATATTTCTTCTGGTTCCTCAACAGTTGGGATCATCCTGTCTCCCTGACCCCTCACTCTCTGCTTTGGGGTACTCAGAAAAAGAATATCCAGGCTATGATCAGATAAGATATAAGCTCCTTAGAGGCAAAGACTATTTGCATCTCCAGTGCCTCACAGGGTGCCTGGCACATAATGGGTGCTTAATAAATGCTCATTGAGTGATGGTCTGCTCCTGATATCCACAGCTGTGGCCAGAATCATCAAAGGAAGCAATTGGCGTGCTTTCCATCTGTGCCTCCACCTCCCTCCCCTTCCTCTCCTCCTCCTCCTCCACTTTCATGCACACCTCCTCTCCTTTCCTTCCTCTGACCTCATGGTGGGAGGCGGGGGGGAGGTAAAAGGAGGGGCCTCAGGACTATAAAAGGGAGAGCATTCTCCTGCAAAGCAGAGCACTCCCAGAGGACACTGAAGAGCTGCCCCCACCATCCAAGACCCTCCTCAGGAGTTCTACAGGTGAGAAACACTGGGAATGGAGAGAGTCGGGAGGGAGGAAGGAACTGGCACACACCCACGATGCCAAGCCAAGCTGAAGGGCCCAGGCTCCTCAGGGTAGCTCAGGACACCTCTGTCTGCTCCCCTCCGAAGAGGGACAGACAGGGAAGGATCCCACCACCGTCATCCCAGGCCTCTTTACATCAGGGTAGTGGCCAGATTCCCAAAGATGGGGGAGAACTGGAGCCTCCATCATCTCCATCATCACCAGCCCCACCACTGTGGGCTTCATTGCTTCAAAACTTTTTAGAGCAGCTTCAGGCTCCATCACCCCCCCAACAATCCTTATTCTGTCTTGGACATTCCCACAAATCCTGACAAATAGGGAGGAGGGCTACTGTAATCTCCTTCCACTCTAGATAAGGAAACTGAGGCTCAAGGTGGCAATTAGTGGTAGGGCTGGGAGTTCTGTAGAATCCACAACTCCCAAGGCAAAAAGCTCAAGGATTTTCCTTCTCCCAGGGCATTCTGCCCGGTTCAGTTTCTATAAGAAAAGCAAAAGCTAGGGGCACTCTGGTACAAGGGGAGGATATCAGCAGGGACTGGAGGAAAAAGAGGGATAGGAGAATGTCACCTAGTTTTCTAGGGAAAACTAGAGAAAATGCAAGTTGTTCCCATTAATTCACATCCCCCTTGGTATAGTGGGAAAAGCCTTGAATTGGGCGAATCCCTGGGTTTCAAGTGCCAGCTCTGTTGCTTATTATTTATTATTTTGAATTCACCCCCTCCCACTATAGTCCTCCTCTACGAAATGTGGGACTTGAATTAGACAATCTATCTCTAAGATTCTTGTTAGCTCTAAAGCCTATGATCCCATGACTGGGGTGGGCAGGAAAAGTGGAGCCCCACTTGGGGAAGGAAGGGACGGGAGCTCTCCGAGGGGCCTGCCTTTCCTCCTACCCTGAGTTATACCCTTCGCAGACAGGATGCGGCAGCTGTGGGGGTGCGTGCTGATCTCTGCCCTGGCCCTGGTCACGTTCTCTGAAGCCTCTCCAAAGCTCAAAGCCCTGCTCCAGGACACTCTCACAGGCCCTGAAGCCAGTAGGAGCCTGGGAATGAGATGGCCAGCTGCTCTGGGCTCTCCTTCCCACCACCGGAGACAACTCCGCCCTCAGGACCTTCCTCACCTCATGGCAGGTAGGAATTGTCCAGAACTCCCCAGCTGCCAGGGTAAGGATGGGGAAACAAACACCAGGCCTTAAAATCACTGACTTAGAGCTGGAAGGGGCCAAGTCAAACCTTTCATCTGACATATGAGGAAACTGAGGCCTAGAGAGATTAACTTGCCCAGGGTTCCACAGGTAGTAAGCTTCTTTGAACCCAGGTCTTTCTGACTTCAAGTCCAGTAAGTTGGTCTGAGAAGGACTAAGAACACAGGCTGCCTCCTCTCCTAAACTTCCTCAATTCATCCCCTCCGCTCTCGATTCTCTTATTCTCAACATATTCCCCTTTTTTCTTACTACCAGATCTTTCCAAGAAGCAAGGACCGTGGCAGGAAGAGGATGAGGCGTATGGCTGGATGGACTTTGGACGCCGCAGTGCCGAGGAAAGGGACCAGCTTCCCTAGTAGGCACCACCCCTCAACTATCCCCATCTCTTCTCCATACTACCCTCTGTTCGGTGCCAACTCAGAATAAACATTTTCTCACCCTACAGCACTGTCAGTCTCTTGATTTGTGTGGTGGCTGGGGAGTAGGGGAATGAGGGGGTATGAAAGAATGGAGAACAAAGAACATGAAAGCCAGCCCAGAGGGAGCTGCCCTCTCCCACTCAGGCCAAGAGCACAGGTGCTAAATGGACTTTTGCTCTGTTATGGATAAAGGAGATGAGGAGAAACAACTTGACATTTCTATAGAGTTTTCTTCACCCCAAGCCAGTGAGGCAGCTATTGCAGGTGCAATCCCCATTTTACAGATAAGAAAATAAAGGTTTAGAGAAGTGAAGCAATTCCCCAAAAGGTCATGCACAGAGTGACAAAACCAAGATTTGATCTGAAACCTTCTGATTCCAACTCTAGCATTCACTACACTTCGATCCAGGGGTGGGGAACAAATTTGTTCTGTGAAGTCTGTATTCAAAGGGCTGCACTTGAGGACCTAGAGGGCCACATGTGGCCTTGAGGCCACAAGTTCCCCACCCTTGCACTACACCAGGCAAAGTAAAAGACAATCAACACAATATTTCCCCATTCCACTCCCCCCGCCTCCCCCCAAAAAACCATACTTATCTCCCTAAAGGAGCAGAAATCTGAGAGGCAGAGTAGCAAAAAAATAGGCTAGGGACTTGGGAGCTCCAAATCTAATTAAGTCACTAACTCTGTGTGTGTGACCTGAACCTCAATTTCTTCCTCGAGCCAGTGTTGGAAGAGGTGCTCTCTTCTATCTAAGGTCCCTCCTAGCTTCAAGGGTCTATAACTCTAGAAAGAGTTCCCTCCCTCCCATTTGTCACCTCCCCAAACCATTCACTCTCCAGAGAGACAGAACTCAGGCAATCATTAGGATCATATTATTTATTGCATGGCCCTGAGCCGCCCTCCACAAGAAGGGAGAACTCAGATGAATTTAATGAGCATCCATATGGTGATCACAAGGGGTGGGGGATCTTAGCTACCTCTCCCCAGCAGTGCACATGTAGAAACTGGTGGCTTTTGGAACAGAAAGTTTAAAAAAAAAATAGAGTGGTGGGTAGGGAATCCAGGGAGCAGGAACTTGGGTTCATACTATCTTACATTATTCACAGATAAGAAGACTCAGGACTGAGAACTCCTCAACCACAGTAATATATTAACCTCTATTTACAACTAAGACTAAGCTGGTGGGGGAAGGAGGAAGGCCGTACAGGGAAACTAAGTGCCAGGTCCTCAAAAGTGCATGTGGCAAGTGGGGATGTGAGGTGGGACTCAGGATGTGGGGGTGGGGGTGTATGTGGTGGTGGGGGTGGTTGGAGGGAGGGAGGAAGGAAGGGGGTCCACAAACTCAACTTCAGCTGCCTCTCAGCAACAGGATGAGGGAGATGGCGAGAGGTAAGGGAAGAGACACACCCTGCCTCACCAACAAAAACACACCCAAGGGATATTTTCTCAGCACCAGTCAACCTGTCCCTTGTCTGGGGGCTGGGCCAGGGTCAGGGGGCTCTCGAGACCCCACTTGCCATCCCTTTGAGGCCCCTCTGGCAACCACACAGTCCAGCCCCAGCTGCCGTAGCTTCTGTACCAAGTTGATGCTGAAGCCATTGGTCCTTTCCTGACCAATCCACCTCCCACCCCATCTTGATGCCCTCCATCCATCTTGATGCCGTTCTCTGGCTAGACCAAAGCTTCCCAGAGGCCAGCCTCTCCAGCCTGGAACCAGGGGTGGATACAATGTGGGCTCAGTGATGGCAGA